TCTTGTTACCTACCATCTGTACTTAACCGACACCACAATGCCAGCCAGGATGAACAAGAATCCCACGGTGAAGAAGGATATCACAATAGTCTGCCAATTGGAAACTCCTGGAGAATACAAAGAAACACTAAAGTTAATCTCGCCGGTGGCCACTGACCGTTCTTAGTGAACCACTCTGGCATCTAAAACGGTACAGAGTGCTTTACGTCTCCCCGTATAAGGAAACGGCTAACCTTCACACCAACAGTGTAAAAACCGCACTTGGCAGAATGTTATGCTGGGGGGGTGGGGGGTGGGAGAGGGAATCTGCCTCAAATTCTTGACATGAGGTGGTGCCAACACCACTGATAAAGACCTCCCAGGGTTATCGGCAGATTTATGTTTGTATGCAGAAAATCAGACACCCAAAGGTTTTTTGTGTAAACAGCAAGAGTCAGCCTGAGTCCCTTTCCTTGCAAACCCATCTCACGAACCAACTGTGTTCCTCCTTTGTCCTAGACTTCCTTCCCAGGCACACCAAGATCTTTCCCGTCCTGTACTAATCAAGAGGTCTTCTGTTCACACCCCCGTTCAGCCTCACCTGGTTTAAGACCACATCCCTTCCCATCCTACCTGGAGTGCTGAAGTAATGCGGAGGACTAGATGCTCCTTCCCCAGCCAAGGTGGAGCCTGTCATCCAGAGCTGATAGGTTGTCCCAGGTTTCAGGTTTGAGAGGTTGTAGCTCCTCTTAGCTGCTGTAACTGCATTAAGCAAAAGAAGAGGGAGGTCTGAGGCTAGAGAGCTGACAGTCAACACCCACTAGCCAGGCTTTCCAGCACCAGCAATCTCAGTAGCGAAGATAGAGGCATCAGGATCATGCATAGGGACAGAAAGAAGCTACAGCCTTATGTGGCTTCCATCTTTACTATTAAACCAAAATCAAATACCAGCTGTTCTTGATTCTTTCATCTTTATGATGCCTGTGCTCTGCCCTGCACTGAGAGTGAGCAACTTGGGGCATGCCATCTGTTGTCACCCTAGACCTTCCCTCCGTGCTACCGACCACGGCCAGTCGTGAAGGAAGACGAGAGTTGCAACCCGACAATACCTGGAAGGCCACAAGTTGCCCATTTTTGCCAGATGGCTGCACAGGGTCAGGAGCGCACTACCTACCTCCAACACAAGCGTACTGGGGTTTTTGCTCTTCCTATGGAGCAACTGGCACAGATCCCTCACTAGTACCCTTTGTATTTCACGACATGGGATGTAGAGCTGGCACCCTCAATGACCTTGTTTGTTCTTCTCTGTCTTGTCCCTCGTTTGCTTTAAGTGGAGGGTTAGGGTTTGCTTTCTCAGAGAGAGAGAGGGGTTGAGAATACCAAACCCCCCAACTGTACCTTTCATACCTAGAGAATCAGCAACTGAGTATCCCTGCCATCACATGACCAACCAGGAGGCCCAGGCCTTCCTGGGCATGGAGGATACTGAGAGTGATCATCTCACTTCCATTAAATCCTATAGAGGGCATATCCCCTGAAAAACAAGTGACTCCGAGGAGGAACTGCAGCAGGAAGTGGGGAATGAAAGGTAAATAACCTCTCAGTGAAGATGAATAACCTGAAAGCCCTTATCTAGAGGGGGGTGAAATCTACAGATTGGGATTTGTGGGGTGCAATTTCTAGAATTCACCCTGGGAAAGTCCTGGAATATGCAGTCTGAAAACATGAAAAAGCACATCTCTGCTCTGCTCTGCTGGGAAGGGAATCCTCATTATCTCTGCTCAGCGATAAGAGGGATGGTCCTTTTTTCTGTGCATAGAAAAACATGGCGCAATTGCTTCTCTGACTGCAGAAGAGAACCTCTATAAAGTCAGGGCTCTGGGCGTCAAGAAGAAAGGCCTACCCCTGACATTATCCAAGCCTCAAAATATACTCAACAGGCCTCCCAGTCCTCTTGGGGATCAGACTCCACTCCCCATGCCCAGTTCTGGGCTCACTGGAGGTGACTCTGGTAAGTTACTGACTGAAATCTTCTTCCCTCAGTCTTGCTGTTAACCGTCAGCTGAACTTGGGGGTGATCTCACTCACTGTAGGTGCAAGAGACGTTCTCTGAAGTGGGATCCTTCAGGTAAAGTGTGTAGCCAATTATGTGTCCGTTGCGACTCGCCAAGGGAACCTCCTGCCAAGAGATGAGAGAGGCAGTAGAGGAGATGCTTCTGTCCTGCAGTGCTTGGGGACCAGCGGATGGTACTAGAAAAGAGGAAGAAATGCAAAGCTGTGATTTAAAAAGAGTATGTGGTGTGCTTGGTATATGGGCAAAGTATAGTATCACTTCCCGGTTGTATAATATAGCCTTCTATGTTGATATATCTGCAGTCAAAGGTTGTTTTTTTTAATTAGTATTTCAGACAACTTTCTGAACATTGCGAAGAGAAACTTTGGGAATTTTCCCCTTCTGCATGATCATAAATGGCTAATTAAAGCCAAAGGTTTGTGATCTAAGAGATACACAATTAGGAGTAAATAAGACATGACAAAAGATAGCACATAATTAACTCAGAAAATTCACTGCCAAAAGATGTGATGAAGGTTTTCATCAGAGATTAGTCAAACCAATGGAAGATAAGATGATCTAACTGCTGCTAGTCTTGATGCCTCCAAATTGAGAGACAGTATGCATCTCTTTTACAAAGCATGTTGTTGCCAGTAATATGGTTAAGTAGTAAATACAAGAGTAGGCAGTACCTTTATAGACCACTAAAAATGATTTACTGCTGCATGAGTCAGAAAAATCGTGGTTTATTTTGATTCGTTGTTTGTCAAGATCAATGACACAAATTAAAAAGTTATGATTTTTTAAATTTAAACCCCAATAAAATGCCCTGCCCAGCACCTGGAGACACCAAGTTTGCAGGAAAGCTTCCCCTAACTCTCCTTTACTATCTCAGCAAGTTTGGTGAAAATTGGGTTTCAGACATCCACCCACAAATTGGGTCCCCTCAGAAAAGTGCCATTGGCAGCTGGCTTAGGGAAACCTAAATTTGGGGGGGGGGGTTATAGAGGAGAGTCATGAGAAGCTCCTCTGTAATTTTGGTGTCTCTACGTTGCCTGTGGGGAACTTTCCTGGGGGTCCCCATTTGTGGGTGTATAACTCACACATCTGAACCCCAGTCTTCACTAAACTTGGAGGGATTGTAGAGGAGAGACAGAGGAAGCTTCCCTACAATTTTAGTATCTCTAGGTGCTGGGGGGCATTTTATAGCCAAACGAATTGATAAGTCAAAAATCACTTTAAAAAATCATTGATTCATGATTCATCAGAGGCATTGGTTTGTATGAATACAGATCAATGACTTAGCAATATGTTTAACGAACTTGGTGATTCGTTTTTTAAATTCATGCCTTTCTCTATTTAGGTGGGCTGAGAAGACAGCTGTTGTGTGACTGTGCACTGATTATTTTCACAGTGCAAGTAATCTTTGAATCAAACATGATGGGAAAAAGCCTCCAGATGATCAGAGAAGGAAAAAATCCCCAAGATTGTCGCAGAATTGTATCATGTGCACATTGGTTTGTATGAATACAGACCAATGACTTAGCAATATGTTTAACGAACTTGGTGATTCATTTTTTAAATTCATGCCTTTCTCTATTTAGGTGGGCTGAGAAGACAGCTGTTGTGTGACTGTGCACTGATTATTTTCACAGTGCAAGTAATCTTTGAATCAAACATGATGGGAAAAAGCCTCCAGATGATCAGAGAAGGAAAAAATCCCCAAGATTGTCACAGAATTGTATCATGTGCACATTTGGTAGGGCAGATTATTGCTTCCAAGAAAGAAGAAATTAGTCTGATTTGCTCAGTGTGTTGCCAGAAAAATTCATGTTGGTCAAGTTCAAGATGATACTGTTGTTGTTGGCTGAGACACGCCGCAATTTATATAGATGTCCTTTTAATAAAAGCTTCCTTTGGTATCAGAAGTAGTAGGGTTGGAGCTGTCAAAAGGTTATATAAATAAGAAGCAGCATAGAGTCTTTCTGGAAGAGTTGACATAATAGTGGCTAGCAGAAACCACTACTCTGTTTATTGTTTACAAAAGATAGCACGTAATTAACTCAGAAAATTCACTGCCACAAGATGTGGTGAACAGCTTGTGGTGAACAACAATAAACAGCAAATAATATATAATAACCAAACCAGACAACTGTTAACAACAAGCAAAAACCAAAAGTAATGTAACTAACAACGGAATTATGGCCAAGATGGGATTATTTAATTTATTTTTATTTAAAATATTTTACTCCACCTTTCTCCTTAAAAGACTCCAAGGCTGCTTACATCACTTAAAGACAATATTTAAAAGCAAATAACAGTAAGTATACAAATATTTTAAAGGATTTAAACAAGTATTATATTAAAAACATCAAATAAAATCAATACTAAAAACACATTTAAAAGCAACAGAGCGCAACAATCCATTATAAAAACCTCTCTCAGACCACCAGGCACTAAGAAAAAGCCTGCTAGGCTTTTGCAGAAAAAATGAGGTGGATCAGCTGCATTACTTCAAACTATATGTGGGCAATACTACCTTTGATTGTTCTCACACATTGGGAAAAAAACTGAATCCCTTTATCAAAATAAAAATGAAACATAAGAAGATAAATTCTGTGGTATCCCGAATTCCAGTGACAGCCCCCACTTTCCTATGTCCATTGAGATTACCTTCTTCCTTGAAGTAGGCTCGCACGTTGACTGGGCGGCTGCTTCCCTCAGGATATAGTGCATGGAGACCCACACGATAGGCTATCTTTGGTTTAAAGTTACCTGGGTGGAAGAGGGAGAAAAAACAGTTCAGCAGGTGAGAAGTGGCACACGCTGGACGAATGTCTCTGAAGCAGCACAGGGCTAACATGGCTGCAGGCATTTAGTTGTATTTGTTATGTCGATTCCTTTCTATCTCACATGTAAATTTACAGGAGGCATTCTTGTCCACTTTGTGAGATAGGAAGGCATCCCAGGCATACAAAGAAAACTCATTGTTTCCTGTAAGGGGGGGAAAAAAAACAAGACAGCGCCCAACCTCTCCTCACCCCTTATCTTGGAGGCGGACATCAACCCTACTCTCCCTGCAACTACATATCCCATTTGCCCCAAATTAAAGGTCTTTATGCAGGTGGCACAGAGGACTACTTCTGCATGCTGGGCCCATTTTGCAAACACAGAGGGACAAACAAAATGCAAAATTAATGGTAAATTGTGACTACAATAAGCACCTTACAGACTTTGCTACATAAATGGGAGGCACTGGAAAACATGAGCATCTCTGAAGGCGGATGGTGAAGTCAAACCCTTTCTCTTCTTCCACCCTGCTGTGTGCATTTCAGGGAAGGCATCCCCATCAAGAGAATTTCCCTTGAAAATCAACAGCAAAAGTGGCTTCCCCCCCCCCCCCCAAATAGTCAACCGCCCACCCTCCACACACACACTGTGTTAACTGCACAACCCATCTTATCCAGTCAGGAGTTTCTCTCTCTCTCTCTCTCTCTCTCTCTCTTCTCACCTCTCACCAGAGCGCTGTCACTGCTACCAGGCCTGCGTATCCACTCCAGGGCTTCTCTGCTGCTGCTGAGGCCCTCTTCTTCTTCCCACTCCACAATGTACTCCTCAGGCTGAACCCACCGAGGGCTTGTGCTAGCCTTCCATGTCACATTGAATCCCAGGCCTGGCACTGCCAGCACCTGGACTTCCTCAGGGCCAGGGAGATCTGAGGAAAGGTTAAAGAGGTGGTGGTTACTGCGCAGAGAATCCCCCCGAGATTCCTGTCAGCATCCCAAACAGGCAGGCATCCCTTCATGTCAATGGTTCCTTCAAGGGCCAGGAAACTTGCAGGTGCAGGACGCTGCACAGACTGGGAAGTTACAAAGTGGGAGGTTAAATCTTTCCTACCTCCTGTGCTAGGGCCTCAATCCTGATCAGTTCTCCCCTCTTCCAGAAAAGTCTAAACAGAAGCACCTCAGGTCTAAATTGCACACAAAAAAAGTAATGTGTACTTTTAGAACCAAACGGAAAGACAGTGGAGGGAAGAGACCTCCTTACCCATGTTCACATGTTCTCTCTTTGAACTCTTTTCATAAATAAATCTGGAATGAAAGAGGGCCTGCTGTCACCTTTCTGCATCCTCCATCTCTACCTCTTCTATCCACAATCAGGAAATTTTCATTGGGATTCGGGAGGGGGAAGAACAGACCCAATTAGCCACCAAACAAAACAAACAAATAATAAAGGATAGATAAAGGCTGAATTCTGTACCAGGAAATTTCTCACACAGGAAGGCTGTTTCTGCGGCCGCTGCAACCATCTGAGGGAAAGACTGTTGACGTAGGAGTGACACATATATACAGTATCCTGCTTGCCAGGTAGGAAGGGGCCTTTTGCAAACTCAATGCCCAGTCCTTCTACAAGGAAGGGGAGAGGGAGGAGGACATGGGTTTCTGTATAGTGTCACTTGTAAGACCCATGCGGGTCTTATTCTATTTTTCTGTTCCTGACATGAGCCGCCCAGGGACCTTTGGGTAGAGTAAATAATGATTATGTTAAACATCAGTGATGTATCCCTTAATAGCCACAAGATGGAACTTTAAACTACAAAATCCCCACAAAAAAACCTTTTGGGGGCCTTTCCATTTAGGGGTCAACTGCTTGATTCAGTAATTCTCCAGCGATAGCGGTGGCATTCCTTCTTTATTTATTTTCTTCTTAGGGTTACTGCTTAATGTGGAAACGGTGTGTCCTTTCTTTTATTGCATGTATCTCACTCATAGTAATCCCCACTCCTCTGGGATACTTCATATAGCCTATTTCAGGCTTCAGCAGGTCCTCCCTTCTCCTTACATTTCTGCTTTCTGCACCGTCCTCATCAAATCTCCAAAAACCAAGATAATCACAGGTCCTTATCAGGCTACACTTTAAAAAAAATGTTTCTTCTAAAAATTACTAACTGCACTATTTTGGATTACACTTCCAAACTAAGTAAACTTAAGTGGTTGAGTGCCTATTATAAAATTAGCATAGACAAGGCTCCTTAAGATGAAGAACATAATTTGCAACATGAACTTAAAATTGGCTTTGAGAATGGGCATTGTGTGAAGTACTATGTATTCTCAGTTCTACTGTATGGCATGGTGTCATGGATTGTAATGGAGACTTATTACAGAAAAAGAAGCAGCAGCATTTGAAATGTGGATTTACCACAGAATGCTAAGAATTTCCTGGATTGAGAGAGTAAATGTACTAAGCACTAAAGTGAATGAGTACAGGTCAAAGAAGTCATAAAATGAGGAAAGCAGGAATCACATAATGAAAAACACAGATTATCACCGCTGATCATTCAAGGCAAAAGAAGTGGGGAAAGAATTGCAGAGTGGAAGAGGAAACTTGGAGGCTGATTTGGATTGACAATGTGGTTGTTGAGCACGGCCACATCCAAAGTCAGAATAGTCCCAATGACATCCAACGTCTTGTAGGGGCAGAAGCAGAAAGAGGAGCAGAAAAAGTGACTTTTCTTAGACTGAGAAGAAAAAAGGAAAGAGGAAATAAAGTCTCTCCTGAATAGATAAGAGTCAAAGAGGAAACAGAGGACAACATCTACACCTTTCCCTTCACAAGGAGGCTGACTCAGCTTCCAAATAACCAGAAGGGCAGGGCATGCAGCGCGAGAGAGAAAAGACTGTATTGACCTCTTGCAGGAAGCCGAGAGGCCTCCACATTATTAATTCTTGCCTGTTTGCTCCAAGCTCAGATTGGCAGGCAGTGTCTTAGTAATGGAATTGTGAGCCGAAATCCAGGCATACTCAGCAGTAGGAGGGAGGCTAGCACTACAGCAACCGCACAGCATCTTGTGGGTCTTTTTGCTGTGCTCCCGGTAAATGACTTCATAGTCTTGGATGACTCCTTGGGCTGATTCTGGGTCCAGAGCCTGTAAAAGGGAAAGGGCCAAGGCCAGTGCTAATCAGATACACAACCTGATCCTCCTGCCATTATCATTTTCCGACTGAAAATGGCAGGCCCAGCTTGCACTCAGAATTATTGGACAAATTGTCCCATGCCGTAAGAAGTTGTGCAACAGAACAACAAATCTCTTAACAGCACCCCTCTTCTCTCCGTTGGAACATGTTGCAATAAAAACATTTACACAGGTTAAATTTCTGCCTCTTATGTAGCTGTTAAAGGTCCAAAGTTGAGAAGAAACCCAGAGGTGGGACAGTTTTCCTTAGAGCAACAGGAAATCGCCATTTTTATGTGTGAAGAGCCAAAAACAACACATTTAGATCCCCGATCAACATTTCTTCTTCTGGCACTTACAGATCTGATCAATCACTTGTCAGCAAAATGACCCCAGCCCAAGGGACTTCTATTGAAGTCACTCACAAGTAGTGGCATAGTAGTAAATTCTGAACAGTTATTTTGTAAAGCTAATGGGTTTGAATTGCCCATTCCAGATCAAGCCATTCCAAAATCTTTGCAACTTTTCTAAGCCCTGATTCCTTGTTAGTGAATATGTTGGAATTTCTGACCTGAAAACTTAGCCATAATGTTTTTTACAAGTCACACAGAGATTTTGACCCATAGAAATATTGCGCGTTCATTCTTCTAGATCACCTTCCTACTATCCTTAAAGTTCTCCCATGTACCTTGTCACTCAGGATCAGAAAAACTGGACTGCCATGTATTCTCAGTCAGAAGCACAATATGTGCAAGTGACAGGCCAAAGGCATTCTTACCTTCCACAGCAGGAGAAGGCTCGGTTCACCATTTTCGGAAACACCCACTTTTTGCCATACATCCACCTGACCCAGCGGAGCTGAGACAACAGAGAAACATTAGGCAGTTAGTGAGAACTAGCGGGTATTCCCCGAAGAATCTGAACAAGAAACAAACATAAATACTTGAACAACCTGCTCTTCCTGTGTTGATAAAAACAAAAAGAACAAAGGATGACTGTTATCCAATACAGGATCTGAATTGCGGCATTCTTACTCAGGGGGGCGGGGTCACCTTTTAAACCTTGTAGACCTTCTCCCAATGAACTGGGTTTAAAATCCCAATGATCCAAAAGAGAGAGGTTACTTACCTGTAACCAAGGTTCTTCTAGTGGGCCTCTGTGAATTCACACAATTGGGTTGTTTTGCGCCTGTGCAGGACCTCTCAGAAGTTTCTAGAGCTTAAAGACATGTGATTAGTGGGACGTTCCCCCGTGGAGCACATGCTCCGCCCACCAGAAATCCCCTCAGTTCCCAAAAAAGTTTGTCACTGTCAAAGAGCTATATAAGAAGACAACGTGACGGACAGAGGGGAGGCAGGGCGGGATGTGTGAATTCACAGAGGACCATTAGAAGAACCATGGTTACAAGGAAGTAACCTCTTTTTCTTCATCGTGGCCTCTGTGAATGCACACAATTGGGTCACTGGCAAGCTCACTTACCGGATGGTGGGACATCACGGTAGAAAGGAAGTCAAGACGGCTCTGCCGAAAGCAGCATCCTTCTTTGCCCAGACATCCAAATGGTAATGTGTGACAAACGTTGATGGATTGGACCATGTAGCTCCATGGCAGATGTGAGGGATTTCTATTCCTCGTTGGAAGGCAGTGGAGGTAGACAGAGCCCTCGTCGAGTGAGCCTTCAAGGGTTCAGGTGGTGTTTTGCCTGCCGGTTCATATGACAGTGAAATTGTTCGAACAATCCGCCTAGCCAACGTTTGAGGTGAAGCTGGTGAACCTTTATTAGGGCCATGAAAACATAGGAAGAGTCTTGATGCATTCCTAAACAATTTGGTTCTGTCAATGTAAAAAGCCAAGGAACGTCTAACAGCAAGCATGTGGAGCATGCGCTTGAGAGGTGTAGAGTGAGATGAAAATAGGGTTGGCAGTATTATAGGTTGATTAAGATGAAAATCAGATATGACCTTAGGTAAGAATGAAACATCTGGGTATAGAGTGACCTTGTCCAGATGGAACTTCAGAAAAGGTGGATCTGATCTAAGAGATGCCAGTTCGCTAGCATGTTTAGCTGACGTTATGGCTACTAAGAATGACGTTTTCAGGGAAAGCAGTTTGAGATTAGTAGTAGCCATCGGTTCAAACGGACGTTGGGTTAATGCGTCAAGGACAAGCTGTAACAACCACTGGGGAAGAGGAAGTTTACGTGGAGGACAGATATTATGAAGTCCTTTAAGGAATTTTTTCAAAGTCAGATGAGAGAAAAGTTTAGCTGTTTCTGAATGAGATGGTTGGTGCGCGACTACTGCAGCAATATAAACTTTCAAAGTAGAATGGGCCAAAGCAAGATGAAAAAGATGGAGTATAAAGGTAAGTAGAGCCTTCAGTGAAACTGGTTTTTAGAATTGACAAGGGGGAGGACTGCTCTCCATTTATGTTGGTAAAGGATCTTTGTTGATGGTTTTCGAACACTGTCAAGTATATCCCTTATTGCAGGAGAATACTCCACACCATCAGTTTCAGAGATTCGAGATTGGGATGGTAAACGAGCCCGTTGTCCTGCGTGAGGAGGTTGGGGATTGATGGAAGATGGAGAAGATCGCTTAACATCGACTCAAGTGGGTGAACCACAGTTGTCATGGCCACCATGGGGCGAGAGTGTGTTTGGTGCTGTTCCCTGAGACAGAAAAGGCAACGGTTGTGGCCGTCAGTGAGTGGGATCTTGTTGTTACAAAGTACGCATCGCTTGAAAGGCCCGGGGGGCATAAAAGAGAAGGGAAAATTGAAGGGAAGATGGAGGGGGATTGGCAAAAACGGGGGAAAGAGAAAAAAACTGAATCAAATAGAAGGTAGAACAAATCAATTTAGGGGGGAAACATTCAACAAAAAAGTGCTTGAAATAACAGAAGAAGCAACTACTGATCGTAGTGAACACACAATCGATCCAGCTCTCTCTGAAATAGGTCTAACCTAAGTGGTGGCTAAAAGGAACTGAGGGGATTTCTGGCAGGCGGAACATGTGCTCCACAGGGGGAACGTCCCACTAATCACATGCCTTTAAATTCTAGGAACATCGGAGAGGCCTTGCGCAGGTGCAGAACAACCCAACTGTGTGCATTCACAGAGGCCATGAAGAAGAATCTTGAACTATTTAGTGCATGGGAACCCCTGAGACCAGACACATGGAACCTCAGGTCCAGGAACAAAACCGATTCCTTCTAGGGTTGCCACTTGGGCTTTCCAAGAGGCCCTTTGCCACTACAGTACATGCCTATTTAGTGGTTTCCTGGCTTTGGTATCATCCTACCCATCATTCCCACCCAAACTGCAGAATGCCGAAATCCTTCTACGCCTCAATTATCGGTAGTAAGAACTCTAAGGTAAAATATGTTAGGAGTCTGGCTCTCATCTTTTTCTATTGGCCCTATCCAGGACTAGAATGCAGTCCCAATAGTTTCTGTGAAACTGAATTCAGTTCTTAACCTGAAAGATGTGCCTCAGCCTTGCCTGAAACGTTCCCATCTTCCCATGTCACATTTTTTACGTCACACTAACTGACAAATGTGCCTTTCAAAACGTAACATGTGAACAGGTGTCAACTAGGATTTTGCTGCATCTAATCAAGAACACCCTTCTCCTTCCTCCACAACAGTACCTACCTGCTTCAGGGGTAGTGAAGGTTTGGGACAAACTCCATTCACTCCAAAAACCGTTTCCATTTTCTGGAATGCATCGGGCTTGCACCTCGTAGGATGTGAATGGCTTCAAGTCCTCAAGGTCATGGCCCTCCTGACCCACCTCTTCCTGAGGCAGCTGGGAAAGAAAATAGTCACAAGTGGTCTTTTGTTACACTTTTAAGAAATTTTAACAGGACATTTAAAAAAAAGTCACAGACAAAACAACACAATCAGAATCAAGACAGAAACAAAGGAAAAGCAACATATGAGTGGCTGTAAATCTCATGATTGCAAACCACACAAAGATAGATACCGTATTTTTCATGTATAAGATGCCCCCATGTATAAGACACCCCCCACTTTTCTAATCTAATCCAAAATTAAGAAATCAAAGTGGGGCTTAGCAAGTGTAGGGGGGAAAGGATCAAAGCGCTGCAGGATTGCTTTGATCCCTGCTTTCCCATCCACTTGTTTTTGTTCTCTTCAGCTTACTTCCGTGTATAAGACGACCCTCAATTTTTAGTCTAAAGATTTTAGACAAAAGTATAGTCTTATACATGGAAAGATACAGTAGTTGTTTTTTAAAATCAGGAAAGGGGGGGAAAGGGCCTAGCCAGCAAGGCTAGGATGTAGAGGTCAGACTTCTTGATTTCTATTCACAATTGATAGGCTGAAATCCTATGCCAAGTTCCCTGGGAGTAAGATACACTACAGTCAGTGAAGTTACATCTGAGTAGAC